GTTTTAGTTAATTTTTGTTTCTTTTGAATATAGAATAACCATTTTTGTAAAATGACCTTATTAATTTAAAATAATTCATAAGCAGAAGTTACAGAGCTCTATGCTGTAGTCAAAATAACTCTAGATCTCTTACATTTTCTCAATTTTTATTTTTATTAGTACATATTTACGGTACATAATGGATACTTTTCTCATGGGGAGTTGATACATGTACATAACATATCTCAATTATTTTTTTTATCTCCTTCCCCTCCTCTCCCTCCATTTCTTGGACCTTTTCTTTTTGCAAAAGATCTATCTCCGTGTTTCCTATTATCTTTTATTTAGATCTTTATTTATAAAATATTTTGGATTTCCCACATAAGAGAAACCATGCAATACTTAAGCTTGTGTGTTGTTTCATAAATTTTCAACATTCGTTTTTCTAGTATTTTGAGACACTTTGAGGTACGCTTTATCTTTCTTAACTCTGTCTCAATCTTTTAAATATTACAAGAGACCTTTTCAGAGAATGGATACATTTAAAGTTTTAAAATATTTCATTTAAAAATCGGATTTGGTCTATAAAACAAGCAGAAGTGTACATACCAAAGGAGCATATCTTGGTTTTGGAGGTGGAGGTGGCATTCTGCACTGACAGAGAAATTTGATCCTAGGTAATGGTAGAAAAGCTTCACAAGGAGGGAGTGGTGGACTTTCTCTTGATGGAGGAACTCTACTTGTACTTGATTTTTCTCCTTTTTCACTGAAAGTCATATTTTTAGATGGCATTCTAAGTCCTGTCTTTATTTCATATACTCCCTTCTTTGAATCTGTAGATCTGGCATCTGAATCATCAAATCTCTTTTTTGCTTGAGCTTTATTTAGTGACGTTTCAGATTCAGCATCAGTAGATTCTGTGTCCTTCTTTGGTTCCTGTTTGGCCTCTTCCATTAAACCTTTATTCTCCTTCTTTGATTCCTTCTTACCCTTCTTTGACCCCAAGTCAGACTCACTTTCAGCAGACTCTGCAGTCTTTTTTGCATCCTTTCTTTTGTCAGCTTTCTTACCCTTTTTTGAATCTCCTTCAGATGCAGACTCAGGACCAGAAGAAACTGCGTCTTTCTTGATGGATTTGTTTTTTGAATCTTTCTTTTCTTTTTGGTCATCTTTCTTACCCTTCTTTGACTCTAATTCAGATTCAGAATCAGCAGGAACAGTGCTGTTTTTTTTATCTTTCTTCTTGCTATCTTTCTTTGAAGCTTTCTTATCTTTTTTTGTATCCTTTTTTGTATCCTTTGAGTCTCCAGATTCAGCATCAGTAGATTCTGTGTCCTTTTTTGCATCTTTTTTCTTGTCATTTTTCTTTGAAGGTTTCTGATCCTTCTTTGCACCTTTCTTTGAGTCTCCAGATGCATCATCTGAGCTCTTCTTTGTGTCTTTCTTTGCAGGCTTCTTCACGTTGTTGTGTGAGTAATTCTTTAACCATATGTCAAAATCCATGGATTCAGCAACAGACTCTTCTAAATACATCATTAAACTGACATTTGAACTATTTATTGAATAAGTCTCTGATTGGATATCAGAATTTTTCTTAGAGGTCTTAGAATCTTTATTGATATTGTTCTTTCTACATATGGAATCTGTATTTGACTCCTTGGAATTCTCAGAATTTGTTTTATATTTTGAAACAGTGTTTGACGCCATCTTAGAATCTTTGGATACTGGAATTGTTTTTGATTCGGACTTTGACTTCTTAATCTGTTCACTTTCCTTTAATGATTCTGATGGAATTTTATCTCCTTTATTTATTCTTTGAGGTTTATCATTTTTTACTATTTTTTTGGATTCTGGATTTGTCACATGTGGATTTGTTTTTTTCTTGGAGTCTTTCTTCAAAGCTGCTTTTTTATCATTTGAGAACTTAATTCCTGCCTCTATAGTATGGATTTGGGAATAATAAGGATGTCTAGATGGAGCCTGTATTTGGAAAGTTAGGTAAATGGATGGCCACTGGAAAAAAATTTAAAGAATGCCTTATCTATGTATAAGCTGGCTTCTGACCTTCCCCTATTTTTGTATTGACTTGCCTCTGTAAAGATTAGATAGAGTGATGATAAGTATTTGTGAATGAGTTACATTTGTTTATTTCTATTTAAAATAGGTTACTCTTCATAAGCACCTATTTAAAATTGGATAATAATTTTTTCTTTGTCAAAGATTTTTTGTGTGTATGTGTATTAATTCTATCTTGGAAATAATATAACTTTAGTGGAAACTTTATAATCCCCTTGATTCATATTAGGATTGGAGCAGACTCACAATGATCCATTATATTCCAGGGCTTGTACTTAACAATCAACTGTTGTTTTGTTTTCACTTTTGGAACTCTACTTGGAACACTTGCTACACCTTTCTTCTCCAAATTAGCCAGAAAGATGATCCCTTTAAAGTTTCTAATGACAATTCATGTTCTAGTTCCAGTCTTCAGGCCTAACCTATTTTTTGCTGCTCTAAGGTTCTTTGACCAGATTGATACCACACTGTGAAGTACAGCAAAAAACAAGAACATAAAATGAAAACAAATTCATATTTGACTTAAGTTAATTTGTGTAGCAATAGTGTAATTTATTGTTAAATGTTTGTGAAATCAGTTGTAAATGTGACCACAAAGACTGATTTTATATTTGTTTCTTCTAGTCTTTCAACTATATACTAGAGACTCTAAAAATGAGATGTTTATAAGGAACTGAAGAAGGAACATGAAGAGAAGTGTATAACCTGAATCAGTACAGAAATGATGCATGCCCTTGAATAAGTGCATTGAGTGCAACATTGTTTAGAAGATGTTTTCAAAATATTTTGAAATTAAAATAAGTGACCCATATATGCTATTTTTCTTCATGCTAATTAATATTATTGCTCTACTTTATAAATGCAATAAAAATGGATTCTCTTAGTCTCAAGTATCCTCAACTTCATATTAAAGCAAATGGGATGGCCCTGAAAATGTAAGACTAACTCCTACTCTAAGATTCAAATTTTAAATCTTTTTGCAACTGGTAAACATTGTCCAATTGGTACTACTGGTTGCAACATTAGTCTCTCTAGTTTGCTTATACAATGCTAATAATTTGAAGGGGCATAAAAGGTGCAAATAAATTTGAGTCTGAAATAAGTGGAAACAATCTACATAGAATAGTAAAGTTAAAGTTGTACACACCTCCTTTATATTTATGTATAATGTACCAATTTAAACAGCATACATCTAACTTTTCAATACTTACATGAACTGCGATTTCTAATTCTGAACGTCTTGATCTCTCTTTCCTACCTGGTATGGGTGGTTCAGGAAATGTCAAAGCAAAGTGTTCTAGATTGCATGATTTTCTGCTAGTTTCATTGACTAAAATAAGATAAGACAATGAGCAACTTGGAGTTAATAGCTAGACTTGCATTAGCACTTAAATATTCTTAAATGAGGAATATATCATTTAAATTCAGCTATTATAACTCAAAATACAGCTTTTCTCTCTGATGTTTGTAGTTAATTTGTATAGCAATTAGGGAGAATAAAATCTTATTTAACATACAATTATGCTTAAGTTAATGTTGTTATTTTATTTTCTATATCAAGTCAATTTTCATGGAGTTACTAAACCATAATTTTAAAATACTGTAATCAAACATAAGAAATGAAAACTAGAGAAATATTCACTGTGTCCTATTAAATGCCTCCTTTATCTTCTGTGTCTTTGATCCTTTTTATTATATCATTTTGGTTAGATTGATCATAATATGATTATTTATTCTGTAGTTCCCAATAATAACTAGCACAATGTTGAGCATACCTGGTAAAAGTCTTGATAGATTAAATCTGAGTGTATATATTAACTCCTATTTAAACTCAGTGGCATCACTAGCCACAGAAATTAAGGCCACAGATCCAATTCAGTTCTTGAAATTCTATTTACAGAGTGCCATACACATACTTGAGGACACACACAATGGAATAATCAGAAAGACCAAACTATATTTGTCAAATGTGTCAAAAGAGGAACTGAGGAGGAAACTCAATACAGTTCTTCTGGAGATGGGGAGATTAATGAGAAATATGAAGACTTCATTCAGTTATTTAAAGATATTTAAAGTTATTTAAAGATTTAAAGATATGTGAGAGTAGTAGTAATAATAAGAGTATATGTGTAACTGCTAACATTTATATAATATTT